AAAAATAATGGTACCAAAGTAAAAGAATATCTGATAAGAGAAATAACTTTCTATGGACATTTCTTCCTGATTTGACCCAACGAAAATATCTGATTTCACAGTATACACATACGTAACAAAATTTCTTTGAATTCTTTCAGAAGAGGGGTGGTGGGACATAGCAGTTGAATCAATTTCGTAGCGGATCCAGCATAAGATGTTTTTGTATGATTTTTGTTTTCATTTGCATAATATTGCATTGATGATAATAGATACTTATGTAATTATACGTTTGAAATTTTCCATAAAGAGCTAATGAGCTAATTTATCAGTCTGGTCAAAGTGATTCTGCTCTTATTTTAAATTGTATAATCAACTTATTTGAATTGATACTTGTTAAGAAAAATACTATGATCTTGTAGACATACCAAATCGTCCTCACCATAGGTCTGCCATACCCGTACAGATTCTACGTCATAGGTCTGCCATTGTAGTGCAGATTCACCCACGGATCTCAAATTCTCTCTTTCTATTTCATCCTCATTTGTTACTTTGCATATCAATGTTGCTGAAAGCTGTAAAATACCACACGCCATGATAAATATTTTCTTATTTTTACAAGATCAGAACTAGAAGAAATGACTGTTTGTGTAACATAAATTACGTAATGGAGGGTATATCGTCCAAAACACTTTGCTTCATAAATCTCCAAAACTTTGCCTCCCTTAGAAACACCCGATATGGTTTGTAATAAAGCCTGGAATCAATACAGTTTGATTAAACATGAAAAAAATCTGGGTTTTTTTATTCTTTGACATTAAAACGTTTTTACAATTTACTTAAAGTTATCATCTGAAGAATGAAATTATTGCTCATTAACATATTTGAATTGATTTCATTTGAAACAATAATCATGTGATTATAAAAAAAACGTAACAAGTATGATGTTATTGTGATATACATTAAATGGCTTACGTAATTTGGATTTTTTCAGACTGGGAAACAGAAAATTGGATGATCTGCTCCTATTCGATGTAAAACCGCAAAGAATGGTGCTAGTATCTGTAAGATTAAATGATTCAATTTTTACATTCTATTAAAATTTATAATATGTATTGATGTTACACCGAAACTTTCTGTTTTTAAATAAAAACGCCCAAAGTTTCCAACAAAGTTTATTTTGTATTCCCGTGTAACACTTTACACACAGGACCCGACTGAGTAACTAATTGAACACACAAATTCTACGCTAAATATTAAGAACTGCCCAACCTACAGACTGTCAATCACTGCTTAATTAACCCGTTAATTGTGAACACTATGAATTCTGCATTTTCTCATGGCCAGCACTTCGGACATTCAATCCCCCTGAGACTCGGGTGATAAAAGTCAGCAATGCTGATACAAGAGCTAAATTTCCCAGCCAAATCTTAATGAGCGGTCAAGACCTTATCACATAAACAGATCACTGCAGTCTGTAGCTTAGAGCAATAACTACAAATCAACAAGATTAAGATAATATAAATCAAGCATTAATTATACAAACAATTTCACACAAAATTTCACTTTAACACCTCCCTTCCAAAGATAAAAATTTAACTGTCAATAGTTGAATTTTTTCCAAGTTCATAATTCTTTATATAGCAACATTAAATTTAACCAGTCACTAAATTCACTTAAGCCAGTCACTAAATAAGTATTAAACAGTTAATAGCAATTAATCATCAAAAGAATAATATAAATCCAAAATGAATTTCACTGTAAATCCAAACTGAATGCACTTGAATTTTATGAATATAAAATTTTCACAATAATTGCCCATAATTCACAAACACATTTCACTTTTCAGATTCTTGATAATCCGTCTGCATTTGTGTTTTTGCTTCCTCTTTTATATCTAACTTCAAAGGTGTACGATTGTAGTGTGAGGGCCCAACGCAAGAGTCTCTGATTTTTATTCTTCAAGCGATGCAACCATGTTAGTGGATTGTAATCTGTTTCTACGTAAAACTTCCTCCCCTCTAGGTAATACGAAAACGATCCAATGGCCCAAACGATAGCTAATAATTCCTTCTCTATCGTTGAATAGTTCTTTTCCCTTGGAAGTAACTTTTTACTAAGGTAAGCAACTGGGTGATCACCATCTGGCAACTGTTGGCTCAGGACAGCCCCAATTGCATTATTACTCGCATCTGTTTGTAGTACAAACGGTAAATTGAAGTTCGGATTGACCAAAACAGGAGCTGTCATCAGGGCCTCCTTCAGTTTCTTGAATGACTGCACTTCCCTCTCCGTCCATTTTAATTCTGCGGGTTGACTTTTTCTCAGTAGATCAGTCAGTGGTACAGTTATGTCCGCATAATTTCCTATATACTGGCGATAGTATCCAGTTAGCCCCAAGAATGATCTTAATTCTTTCTTTGTCAAGGGAAGCGGAAAATCCTCCATGGCCTTCAATTTCCGAGGGTCTGGTCGAATTGTCCCTCCACCAACTATGTGTCCTAAACAGATGATTTCTGCTGCTCCAAACTTACATTTTGATGGTCTGATGGTAAGAATGGCCTCATGAATACGCTGAAGTAGCTCTGTTACATGTTTGATATGGTCTTCCCACGTCTGACTGTAGACAATTATGTCATCAAAGTACGCAACAGTATTTTGAGTTCCATCTAAAATACGATCCATAAGTCTTATGAATGATGCTGGAGACGTCTTCATACCAAACGGCATCACTGTAAACTCGAAAAGGCCCAATGGGGTGATGAAGGCGGATTTCTCGCGTGTTTCCTTTGCCAGCGGAACTTGCCAGTAGCCTTTTGTAAGATCAAATCTACTCAAATATTTTGCACTTCCAATTTTCTCAAATATTTCACTCATGCGTGGAATGGGATAAGGATCCGTGAGAGTTATTTCATTCAGTTTTCTGTAATCAACACAAATTCTAATTGTCCCATCAGGCTTGTTGACAAGGACAATTGGTGAGGCCCACGGACTTTTGGATGGTGTAATAAGTCCTTGTTCTAACATTTCATTCAAAGACTCCTTCACTTCCTGTTTCTTAGCTTCCGGTATCCTGTAAGGTCTCTGAGTAATTGGATTCTCAGACGTTGTTCTGATTGTATGTGAGATAACATCACACTTTCCCGGCTTTGATGTGAAAATTCTTGAAAATTTCTGACAAACATCCCTTAAACTCTGTCTCTGCACTTGTGTCAGCCCATGTCCAAAGACAAGATCTGAAATTGTTTCTGTGGTGTCGTTAGGAAATTGCTGTTCATTTCCAATTTCATTTTCTGCTGCTGCCAGTAATGTAATTTCAGGTAAATCAAAGTTCACTTTATCAGCCTCATCCTTAGTTACCACGACATTTAAGTCCCTTGGTTCGGCATCACATTTATTCATGTGATTTTTGGCACTTAATTCATTTTGTTCTTGTTCTTTTGCTTTGGCTCTCGTAACCACAGCTGCAACTTTGTTCCTCTCCAGAACATCTATTCCCAATAAACCATCTGCAACCAGATCAGGTACTAAACCTACCTGAACATGTCCGTTAAACATTGGTGTTTCCAGGTTAACCACTGCTAACTTAGCCTCCAATGGCTGTCCAATAGCTGTAACCAAGGAAGTAGTTTGTCCATGTAGAACACATTTTGGATCAACAAGATCCTCCCGCAATAGCGTCATAGATGCTCCAGTGTCCTTGACCATTGACACTTCCACATCATCCACTTTCCCCGGAACATAATGTAAACCCCATAATGCTCCTTTCACGAAACACGACGCTAGATTACCTTTCTTTGGGCATTTGTTTGCATAATGTCCAAAGTTCCCACAGCTAAAACATTTCACTTTTTCCAAACTTTTCTGTTTTCCGGAGTTCCCCTGTTCCTGGCTCTTCTTCTCACCTAACACTTTAGGATTTAGAAGTTTTCTGTCCTCGGCCGATTTTGTTGGTAGAATGTAATCCTCAGCAGCTTCAACTAACTCACTACTTCCCTTATTCCGTCTAATCCACTGGGCTTGTTGAGGAGATAACGCCTTTAAGAAATACTCTTCTCGGAACTTTAGTACGGGATCTTTCTCATCAATGAAACGACTCAAATACAGATCTATTCTCGACATTAATCCTCTGTAAGTTTCTCCTGGTCTACGTTTAATTTCCTCCAGGAACTGAAAGTAGTCTGCTGGGCGCTTGCCGAATCGATTCAAAAGAGCCTTATACAGATCTCTGTATCCCGAAGTCACTTGCTGCGACACTTCTCGAGCTTCTCCGGTTAAAAGTGACCTAAGCTGTAAAGCCTTTGAGTTCTCAGTCCAACCTGCATGCTCAGCTACCGCATCAAATTCAGAGAGATAGCACAAAATGTCATCCTTTTCCTGATTAAATGGTTGAAGTTTAATTTTTGGCATTCCTGTCGAATGTGCTCCTGGCGTTGAATTGGCCTTCTCTAGCTGAACACGTAATTCCAAAATTTCTTTTTCATGTTCCAATTCAAGTGTTTTTAAACGTAATTCATGTTCCTGTTTTTGTTTAGAAAGTTGTAATTCCAATTCCAAGTCCTGTTTCCTAGGCATTTTAATTCCGCTTGTTAAATCCAAATATATGTATAAAATTTCAAACAATATTTCACATTTAATTAGGATCCTTTACCGCTGCCACCACTTAAAATGTTACACCGAAACTTTCTGTTTTTAAATAAAAACGCCCAAAGTTTCCAACAAAGTTTATTTTGTATTCCCGTGTAACACTTTACACACAGGACCCGACTGAGTAACTAATTGAACACACAAATTCTACGCTAAATATTAAGAACTGCCCAACCTACAGACTGTCAATCACTGCTTAATTAACCCGTTAATTGTGAACACTATGAATTCTGCATTTTCTCATGGCCAGCACTTCGGACATTCAATCCCCCTGAGACTCGGGTGATAAAAGTCAGCAATGCTGATACAAGAGCTAAATTTCCCAGCCAAATCTTAATGAGCGGTCAAGACCTTATCACATAAACAGATCACTGCAGTCTGTAGCTTAGAGCAATAACTACAAATCAACAAGATTAAGATAATATAAATCAAGCTTTAATTATACAAACAATTTCACACAAAATTTCACTTTAACAATTGACTATAACTTAAACAGCGTTTTATAAAAACACAGTTCTTAAACCAAACTTGCGAGACTATAATGATTACACGCTCATTAGGTATTAAATCCGTGTCACTGTCGGTAGCGCATGAATCTGTGAAGTCTGTAATTCGGCCATCTGTAAATAGTACCACTCTGGGATGGAGAAGAAAGTCACCAACTTTGCTGGTATGGGCTGTAATAGGTAAATAAGATTCATGTCATAAAAGTTTGTTTTTATTCCATTCTTTCTAAACTAGAACCGTGTCATTAGACCGAGATAAAAATTGCAGTTTAAGTTTAAAAGACATGAATTGTTTTGACAAACATATAATTAAACGAAATTAAAGTGTTTATCTTTAGTGACATAAAATTGATTTTAATAATCAGCTTATTTAATTTATCGGAGAAGCCTTTCCTTACCTGCTCCTTCCAACAGTCCCCCGAGGGCCAAGATAAAGGCGGCAGTGAGTGGTGAGGGTCCACCACATTCCACTTCCTCTGTAATAAGTCAGACAAGAGAATGATCTACAAGTGTTAGGTTTTTGTAAACTTGTCAAGCAATTCAAATTAAGTATCTTAAAAACTCAATAATGGACAAAACGACATTATTTTTCAGAATATTAATTCTTTAATCTAATTCGAAGTTCAACAAGACTTAAAACATGTTGAAGATATTCATAATACTTATACTATGATCTCCCGTTATTTTCCGATCATGACAAGGAGCACGCGGTGGGTTTGACCAATCGGTTGAGGATGTTCACTCCTCCTTGGTACTTGATCCCACCTCTGTGGTGTTAGAGGTCCATGTTTTCTCTGCATCTGATTTGTATTATTTGAAATGGCTTTTGAGCTTGAATGCTGTTCGATATCTTCATATTTTTCACGTATAAAATGCACAAGCTCATATGAAAGTCTAGTATAACTAACACAAAAGTAACGAACGACTTCCACTGTCTGACTAAAGTCAATCCCTACTACTACACCACAACGAAATGAAATAGTAGGCACTGGCTTACAATTTATTGTTGGAGAAAAAAGAACAGATGAAAATTATATTACCTATGTGTCGTTTGATTGCCAAATATTGGTTTGAGTAATACTGCAGGAATTTTGTTTCGTGCCCCATCACTATAACAGAGACATTTTCACCCATCCCCGGGTTTTGATAGAACTCTGTAAATGGGATTAAAATAACAGCATTACTATACATAATATTGTACATTATCACAATGCTCCCACACCCAATATCAATTGACCCACCATCTAGTATCGTGAAGACTCCTCTTTTCATCTCTCTCAAAGGCTGCCCCCTCATGCTTTCTGAACAGTCTAGAATGAGCAGAACGCAACTTCCTCTTCCTCTCTGATGTCTACCGGATCTCTCTTCAATAACAAAATGACAAATACTTCCATCCATGAAGATCATCCAAGAATAACAATAACAATTCAATCCTAGCTGACTTACAAAGCTACTGTTTATAGTAAGAAAACTAAAAAAAAAAACCAAAGACTAAAACCATAAATTACTTACGTTTTCCAGCTTCCAACTTGGCCTGTGAACGCCACATGTTTTCATACATAGCAATTTCCGTGTCCTACAAAATGGGTGTTGGTACATTCTAACACGATTAAAAATTAAATACAAGTAGCTTGGGTTGAATATTCCTCCTAAAATAAAAGATTAAATTACAAACCTGCATCATTTCTTCTGGTTATTCAAAGTACCATATATATAATTGGGTTAAAACAGAACAGGAAGATTTAATATATCATAATAATTATACAAATATGGAAATACGGGAAGGAAATCGACAGTAATAATATCGCTTGATTTAAGCTATTTTTATAAACATTTTGAAATAAACTCTTGTCAATTTTATTGTGAGCACCATTTGATGGATATGATGTATTTATAAAATATTTTGGTAATGAATGGTAAATAATTTAGCTAACATACACTGATACCACTAAACAATGTAGCTGGAAAATAGAGGCTGATATTTATATTGTGACGTTTAATTTTTCAGAGTTTATCCTAAAGAGGTCTAAAACAAAGACGAATATGTTGATGATAAGATTTTAAAACCATATAAATTTTACAGCACTCTTCAAAAGTGGGTGTTACTTTTAGATATTAACATACAATGAATATCATGATAGAAATGGTACCCTAATAATATCCTTCAAAATCAAAGTCTCTCTAAAGTATAAGTCACATTATCCAGCGATGGGGTATACGATGAGAAACCGATGCGTATTTTGATGAAAATGTCGTGGTTGCTGGCCGGGCACCACTAGTGATCGAACGGTGACTGAGGCTTTTTTTGCGAATCGGTGGGGTCATCGGTAGGAAATAATTCGTAGTTAAAATTCAGCGATGTCTCCAACGATGCCTCACATTGCTCCTCATCGGCAACCCATCATTAACACGTCTTTCAAGGATCGGTCGATGTACGGCCGAGTATCGTCCAATATCCGTTGAATCTGAGGTCATTGGGGAGTTTAGTGGTGTTCAACAGATAACGACCGATCATCAGTCGATGTTCGACCAATCATTGGGCCGTAGTCGACCGATGTACGAACGATGTTCACAAATATAATATACATCGGCCGATTATCCTGGAACATCGTTTTATGATTAGCAATGCATCGGGGGGCCTTCGTAAGTCCGACTGGCAACCACGCCATTTTTATCCTAAAACGCATTGGTTTCCCATCGTATGCCCATTGCTGAATAATGTGACTGATACTTTTAGGACTACTAGGCCGATGTGGACCGATGTTGGGGCATCGTTAGCACCACGGATTACCACCGATTACCACCGGTCTACGGCTACCGGCCGGGAAATGTGACCTAGGCATAAGTGATTAATTTTTAAGTCCTTTCTGATTTCGGAAGCATGCGCATGTATTCTTAAATAAGGTTTGGCATTCAATAAAATATAAATTAACCTGGGGTTACAACCCACTTGAATGATCTAATTGAAATAAACAAAATTTCAATAATAATATTAAGGCAATTTACAGAATAAATTTGTAAAAGAAGGACATGTACACATATTTCGCAGAACACTTAATAATAGGATAAAAACAATATGCTAAAAAAAAAATACCAAGAAAACTTCAGAAATAATTTTTCAAATAGCTAATGCAAT